GCTTAGGACGTTTACATTGTCCTTTTCCAGCTGTCGTAATCTATCGCCAAATTTTTCTTCAATCACCTCCGCCAGCTGACGAGCCAAGGGGGCTGATCCCCCTGACCTGATTTCCATACTGGTTTGAGGGGTTACCCCTCTTGACCGAGTAGAGGCACTTTTATTCGTATTGGTGTGATCCCTTCCTCCGTGATGACAGGGAGCTTGTAACTCGAGACTCCTTTGGTGGGGTCCTTTCCCTTTCTGTCGAGTGTTCACCATGGTCACTGTTCTTTATAGAGAAAAAACTAGGAAAACTAGTCGTTTCCCACAGACGGCGCCAGATTGTGCGTGCAAGATCCTGCACAATATAAAAAACGAGAACAAATCTCTCCCTTGGTGAACTCGAGTGAGCCGGTTGAGTGACCAAACACGCTGCTTGGAACAGCCTGCGAGGTCCGGTGGTAACCTGGAACGGCAATGGGAGACCCTGGGAACGGAAGAACGATCCAGTAAGGCTGAAAGAGGTTCCTGGAACAAAGAAGAACAAGTTAGAAGGACGCCGGAGTGTTTTTCGGCGTATCCCCTCCGACGATCTAGTCAGTCTTTGAGAGAGAGAGAGAAGAAGGAGAAAACACTGAGTGTGTATTGTAGTAAAGAGTTTTTTGTTGCATACCCGTCTTGCCTTTTGCAATGAGTATTTATACCTCAATTGCTGTCAGTGTAGTCAGTAGATGATCATTAAGTACAGACAGTGTACGCACTGATATCATATGCCACGCGTCCATCCCTTATTGGCTGTGACCCCTGCATTCCAGTACGTTCTGACACTAATTGTGTAAGACGAGGTCATGATGAATAGCCTAGACTAGCCTAGGCTAATGACTTGTACGTCAATAGCTTATCCTGGAGTAGAGGAAGCGTCCAGGATGGGGTACCTCTCGGCACCGAGGAAAGGCTCATCTCGGAACCGAGGGAGGTATACCGACCGAGGTACCATATCAGACCGAGACCACGTGTCGGTTGTAAAACATACTGAATGCATGATCCTATATGATGGGTACCTCGGGGGCGAGGACCTTGTGCGCCGATGGTGCTTGATCTTAGCAACAGTGTTTTGGTAATACCAAGGACACGTGTCTTCATCATGGAACATTTCAGAAAAGTCCCATCAAAATCCAAGTCATAGTTTCAATGAGACATGAATAGCAGCACCTTATCGTTAAATTGACAACACATGTATATAACAACCAAGATTCCTTAACCGAGACCTTTTAATTGCTAGAAATAACCCGCAGGTAGCCCAGCGGTGTAGGATTGACCCTGGATGAACAGTAAATTTGAACGTCGGAGATTCACCCTAGCTGGTGTTCTTAACTGATACGTAATTGCCGCAGATATCCGGGATTTAATAGGTCCAAAGTGGTACACCTAAGAGGTTACCCATTAACAAGAAAAGAAAGCTAGAAATTATCATAAATGACTCATAGGAAAGAAGAATCAACCCAAAAACAACACAGAAGTCAGTTGTACAAACATGCAACAATCGAAATCTTAATGATTATACTCAAAAAGTCTCAAGCTCAGTTAGGAAACGGAGAAAATGTAGGAAGAAGACATTCAATAATAAGTTTGAGGAAATTTATGAAATTCCACTTAATTTTCTTTCAGTCATTTCAGAGCAATCAAATGGAAGGTAAACCAAAAGTCAACGGCGTCATATACGTTATAGCTCTCTATGTAAATAGAGGAAAAAACTAGATCTGATAACAAACATTGTGAAAGAAACAATAAAAATCGAACCTGCAATGCTTTGACGAAATTCTTGCTTCTCTCCATCGAAACCTCATCCAACGTCATCGCCGGATTCTCCGGCCGTGACCGCTCCAACTCCAATTCCATCACAAACTCTCTCTCTCTCTCTCTCTCTCTCTCTCTCTCAGAGACGTTCCTTAATTATGAAAATTCTGAAAAGGTCTGATCATAGATTCACAGAGATTTGCTGAAACGATAAGGTGATCATCATTATTATAATTTTGTAAATGGAACGGAAGACTGAGAGATTACTTATAGTGTATATTATATCAATGGTTAGGTTAGGTTAGATTCGAAGTTAAGAAAGTTTTTTTTTTTTTCTGGTGGGAGAGATAAGCTGATGACGATTTAAGAGAGAGAGAGAGAGAGAGAGAGAGAGTGTTTATGAAGCAATCTCGGGAAATGAGTTAAATTTGGAGTTAACTGCAAGTGAAGTGAAAGTGGACATTCGTATTTATTGAGATAGGAAACACGTCGTCGTAGTAGTTGAACTAAGCAGACTTCCTGAGACAGTGCCGATGGACCAGAATTAAACTAACCCGACTTGTCGCTATCAGACCACCGATGAGAAAATTGAATAGACTGATCCAATAGTGACGACTGACGAGTAAATATCGGGTGTAATTGCTCCATTTATATCTAAATATAAAATACGAAAAATTTTAATAAATTTATCTGATAATTTTAAATAAATTTATTTAATTATTATAAATATTTTTTTTAAATATTCACATTTATATCGTGTCTTCAGTTATAAGTTACTTATAATAATAACATAAAATAGATCCTACTTTTTCTAATAATTACTATATATTTAAAAAATAAATTATTATTAAACAATTATATTATATAATAATATTGACATAGTGTATCTATTACACCCAAAATTTATTCGTGTCCAACAAGATGAGGAAGCTCTCATACCAAGCATTGTCAATCATAGGATGTTTGATAGTTATTATCCCTTACATTAAGAGAGGAATGATTATTTGAAAGAGTGATGTCCATTTGATTTTATTATTGAATCATCATTAAGTGATTATACCATATAATAGTATGAACATAATATAATCGTTACACTTAATATTTATTTCAAGATACTGTTTGGATGATTGAATGCAAAATAGATAAGATTGAAGTTTTTCATCTTTTCAATTCTCACATTCTAATATAACGGTTTACAAAGGATTGTTTTTAATCGATCTTATATTTGGTAAACACATTTACATTATTGTGAGTAGGGTTGATAATTGAGTCAAGTTATTCGGGTTCAGTTTATTTTGAACTCAGATCAAATTCGATTTATTTTTTAAACAAGTCGAGTTTGAATACTTTTTTTTAGTAGTTTGATTCAAGTTCGCAAAACACAACTTGTTTATATGTACAATAGTTAAGCTACTAAAGCTCAACTCAGATTCGGCTCATTTAGGCTCAGCATGTTTTCTAAATGAATCGAATTTGAATAATTTTTAAGCTCATTTATAAAAACAAGTTCGATATGTTCGATTTAAACTTGTAAAATTCAATTCAATTATCAACCCTAATTGTGAGTTCATGGATTAGATTAGCTCATGACGGAAAAAAGTTTTAATTGAATTTTACTATCATATACCTCAGACAAATCCAACTTTTTGAAAAATAATGGGTATTATAATATTTTTGCAAGAAATTCCATTTGCATTATATTTAACCCAAACCTAGATGGTTTAGAGAAAAACCCATCTACAATGAAAAAATGTAATTATTTAAGTTGGGTCTTGGATAGACTAAAATGGGTTATCCCTGCAACATTTTTGCTTTAAACATGAGAAAAGTGGAACCCACCCCAATTGTGTCAAATTAAACATGTTTTAACATTTTTTATCCTGTTATGTAAACATCACCTCGCAAATTGATCGAGTTGGGCCGAATAATAGACGTTTTGGCCTTTGGTTTGTTCGTTTTTAAGGACAGTTTAGATTGATTTGTGATTGTGATTAGTTTTAAATACCTTGTTCAAATGAGATGGTAATTTTTTTCCCGAACTCGAACTTGGCTCAATTTGTCTAATTAAACCAATCAAACAAAAGTTATTTTTTCTATCAAAAATCGGCTCGTTTATGTGTAGATTTTTATTGGTATAATATATGTAATACAATATACATGTGTTCTATATGACTATTGCTCAATCTCAATTCCAAACTAGTTTTGAATAACTCGGTTCAATTGCAATCTTAGTCACTGATGATACACAAAATTGTATCGTACAAGATCAACAGTCGAGTATGTGATAAAGTGTAATCAATGAATAATAAATAAAGTAATCAATGAATAATAAATAAAGTAATTAATGACAAAACAGTAAATATCAAGTCAACACACAAATATATAGTGGTTTAGTTCGGATGACTTACTCCACTATTGGGAAACGACAACGTTGGCGGGGGTTTTTATTGATGATTAAAGTAGTAGTAGAGAAAGCTCCAGAAGTGTATGCTCCGAGAGAGGTACAACAGTTAGAAAAAAGAAGTTATGTGTGTCGGGAGGTGTAAAGAGGTATGTTGGGAGATTTGTCTCTCTATGTGGAGAGAGTTTACAATATATAAGTATGGTGAGACGGTGACGTGAGTGTGAGGGTACTACTTATTCGGAGAGGATAATTACAAAAGGTAAGTACAATTAAAATAAGATTGATTTTCGTGAGTGTATATTCCGATAATATCTCTTCCATGTACTTTTATCTTCCTGGCTCCTTAGATCTTGAACTGAGTCGAATTGATAAAATGAGCTTAGACTGCTTTTTAGTTGATTTAAGATTGCTTGATTTATTGAGTTTGACCTAATTAGATTTGGGCTCGTCAGTCACTACAATTGACAGTTGCTACCGAAGATCAGATCTTGCGGACATGTATCGTGCAACTTGTATTCTTGCAGAGCGTCCGGCCCTATTAAGCGGTGAGTTCCATACTGCAGTTCATGCATTGCTTTCGATCAAATATTGAAAAAGGAGCAAATGGCACTCAACTCAGTTTTTTTTCGTATAATCGAGTAAGCTAACTTTAAACAGTAGTTTAAATGATAATTGTAACGAATTTACAATTCAGACGTTTTAAATTCGAATTTTAGTAATCTTTTGAACGAACCTATGAAAGATTTATTCATCATAAATATCTTAATCCTAATGTATATAACATACCTTTGACTGAACCACTGAATAAACTAATTGAAATGTGTACAAATTAATCCAAATACCCCCGACCGTTGAAACAGAAAATCAAATAAAAATGTAGGATTGACCACCAGATGCACACGAAAGATCGCTGTCGGGTGTAACAAATTGGGAGATACAGATACCCCTAAGACTGCCCCGCCATGGAGTACCAGGTTCCATGGTCAACTGAAGATGGAAATAAGTGACATATAAATCAAGAAAACCGTAAATTATACATTTAATTAGATTACACTGTACAAAACTATACCGCAATATTGGAATACCATAATGTGCCTGTAAACATGACCGCAAACAGCTCACACAGAGGTGTTTATATGTGAAAATTTTCGTTTAGCATAACACCACATAGGCCAAAATTTTGGAACTACAAAACATCACTATGACCTTTCTGATGATTCTGTCTCAGTTCTCTGAGCAGAGGTTGATATAGAAGCCAGGTAACTCCCAACCTCCGTGAGCTTCACAAACACCTCATTGTTCCTGACAGAGGATGACAATATCTCAAAATAAGTTGGTTTTGGGGTCGAGGAGCAACCAATAGATTGGATTAAGTCAGCTACAGCCAGTACTTGAAACTTTGGGGGTGCATTCAAAGCAATGTTGTGAACTCGATGCTCGTAGATCTTCCCATTCTTATCAAGTTTGTACTCCGAAGTGCCATCAAATCGACCACGGCTCTCCCATGGCACTTGTGGGATGCCATGGACTGTCCAACGGACCAGTATCATATTCTCCACAGGCTGCCACACACTTATAATGTCAATCCACAAGGCCCTGAAAAATATCCTGCCTTGAAATCGTAGTGCCCACAAGATTGATTTATAGTTCTCAATGCCGACAAAAGTGTTGAGTGGATCTTTGAAGACAATGTCATCCCTATATAGAGCAGAAGGAAGATATTAGGTTCTCACATATTATTAGCGGGGAATGTCAAAGTGTGTTTGGTAAACGTTCAGCACATATTAGTCAGCTAACCATTAGTTATTATACATAAGGTCCTTTGAAAAGTATGTTAATGAAGGAATATGCTTAACATTAGTCATTACTTGCTTGCATAATATATGAAACCCAAACAACACACAATCTACTTTTCTGCAGCCTCATGTGGCAACAACTACACTTGCATGCAATTCCCAACTAGTTAATATTGCCTGAAAACAAGGAATCTAAACATCTACTCCATGCAGCAGATAATCAGATGCAAAAACAAATTCAGTTCTTGAATATCACTAAAGAGCCTTTCTTGATTGGTACATAGGTAAAGTCACTCTAATTTTCTACTGAGCAATGCATTCTCTCAGTGAGCCAATCAGATATGAACAGAAAAGCTATACAGTTCAATCTATCTTTGCCGCCCACTTATAATCCAACGTCCAACTAATAACCAACAGCACACGGCGGTTAGACTTTGATTCTAAGGGCTAAGGCTCCACTTATTCCCCCCTCCCTTTTCTTTTCCCCTGGCCGTGTGTGGGCCAAACTTCAGAAAGGCTATATGGGGTCCTTAGTGTGAGAAATGCCTGCTCATACTCCTTACCAACAACTCGTCGCCGCACCACACCATAGTTTGGTCCAACACCCAATTAATTCATTCCTCGCCACTGCACATTAGCAAAAGTGAGTGAATAGCCAGCCAGTCCATGCAAGTCGCAATAAAATGTCGGCCTCAAACATTCTCACTTCTATTTGGGGCTCCATTTTCAACACCAAAGACCCACACTCCATACTATGTCCGCAACACTGATTAGTTCTGTCCTGCTACCCCTGCCCCCTTTAAAATAAGCATCTGCAACTCCAATATAAGCAGCATTTCACAGATCACTCACTGTATCTTGTAAAACAATCAATTCATCTTTGCGGCATATTTACTTAAGAAGAATATGTGACTTCAAAAGACAATTACCCCACAGGTTACCCTATCCTAATACCTAAGTCAAACACAATAGAATCCATGTGCTAGTGCACGCTACACAGGAGCTTAGCTACTGCAGCACGTGAACTTTACAGGTACATATCTGCTGGAATATAGTCATCCACCAATTGTTTGACACAAACCCTTAGATGAGAAGTGCACTATGCAACTACATTTAGACTTGGATCTATTTCTAGCATGCCGTGGAATGATCAGTAGCCGAAGATTATGAAAAAATGGGAATTTTCAACATAGTTGCCCTAGCACAAGGTGCCATGTATCAAACAATCACTTTCCATTTCATCAACAACTGCTTCTTCAGCTATCTATCTCCAATTAGAACTTTTCAGTTGTAAGCAAGTGAAGAAGTGTACAAGTGTCTTCAGCTCAGTTGATATTACTTGTATTAAGAACTACAAGCACCACACTCGCCATTGCTCTACCAAAGTTAGCAAAATTTCTCTCAACTCACACTAAGATAGTTTAATTGCTAACTCGGGGCTTCTAACTCTCTAACTGCAGAACAAATGATAGCATAAATACCGAAAACACAAACACAAAATCATACAACAGCTTAAAGAATAAGAATAAAGACTCACTTTCTTTAGTTCTCATCAATTAAACACACCAGAAATCGAAATCCATCAAGGCAATCAAATTCAAACCTGTAAATGTCAAAACTGAGCTCCTTATAGAAAAGAGCGGGAAACTCTTCTCTTAGAGTCCGGATCGCATAACCTGTATTCACATAGTAATTCTGCTTCTCTTCATCCTCTCTGCTTTGCTTTGATGACAACGTAGTATTCGGCTCCACAAGAGCCCAGAATTCTCCGGGAAACCTCACATTATGGCCCAAATTCGAAACCCTAGCCTCCAAATCCTTAATCCTCGAACAAACGCCACCATTAACCCTAACCCTGATGCTATTTTTCAAGACTCTGTGATGTTGAACATTCCTGGGGTTTGATTGGAAGTAAATTACAGATGGAATTTCCGGCGAAGGTATGAGCAGAGCCATAAGACCGACGATACAATCCGTCGAGTTTTTCCGGCGAAGAATTGGAGGAATTGCAATTACACTCAGAGGCGGGTCAAATTTGGAATGTCCATTTTTTATGCGGTGGTGAAACGAAGAAATACGAATATTCGGGAAAATATTAGTTTGGTTCTTAAGAAAATTCCGGAAATGAACGGAACGGAGAAAAGTGCAGAGTCAAGCGAATTGGATAGATTTTGTTTGGATAATGAGAATTATCTTTTAATTAAATAGCAAAAATATCTGATTGGCCGATGAAAAGGAATGCTCAAACCTTTTCAAAATGTGGATTAGGCCCAAATTAGGGCCTAATTGGGCTCGGGCCCAAATTTAGCCATTGTGCTGACCAAGTCCAATAAATACCAAACTATAGACTACTAAATACTACTATGAATCCCAACGGGGGGGTTCAAACTTCAAATGACTAGCAATCCTCGAACGAGTGACCCTAGTTAAAAAAAAAAGTTTTTGAAAGCTGGCATAGTGTCTTGGATTTTTAAGGAGGATACATTCAAATAGATATTTTTTGGGATTTTAATGACATATATTTGTACAAAGACCAAAATAAATCTATTTCAAAATACAATTCAAATTTAAAAATCAAACAAAATCAAATATACAATTCAAAAATCAAATAAAATCAATTACACAATTCAAAAATTAAATAAAATAAATTTCCTTAATTTTAGATATTTCGTAATTAAACAACCTTATAAAATTCACATATCAAAATTTAAAATAGATTCAAATCTCCTTTATTTATTATACACACAAAAAAAATCAACATCTATATATTTGGGACATTGACAATGTCATTATTATAGTCCTCACGACAGTAACAGTCCTCTGTTACTGTCTATTACTGTCTTGGAAACAGCGTCTTCGTTACTCTCTTGGGATAATAGAAATACTCCATTGTTACTATCCCACGACAATACTAGTGCATTTGTTACTGTCTCCACGATAGTAATAGTATCTTGTTACTATCCGTTGCTGACTCTATTTCTATATTGAGATAGTGAAAATACTCCACTATTATTGTCTTGGAATAGTAAAAATCACTTATTGAGTGCTAGGTAGATTCCACTACTTGTCAAACACGGTGACTAAGAGAGAAACAAAGTCGAATGTTGACAGAGAATGTTGGAGACGATAATGACACAACAATAACAGTGTCTCTGTTACTGTTTGTTACTACATTTGTTACTATCGTGAGATAGTGAAAATACTCTATTGTTACTGTCCTGAAATAGTGAAAATCACTTATTAAGAGTTAGATAGAGTCCACAACTTGTCAAACACTGTGATTGAGAGAGAAATAAAGTTGAATGTCGATAGAGAATGTGGAAGACGATAATGACTTCATCAATTTTGTGTCTTCTCTTGTATCATATGACAACTTCCTTTGGCTTGGAGTCTTGGACAAATTGGATGGCAAAAAAAAAAATTGGCAAACAAATTTGAATCTCCTAAATGTATTGAACATCTTATGGCAAAAAGGAAGAGAGGCGATGATGATTTAGGACTGAGAGATAGGTGGAGAAGAATGTTAAATGATATATATATTGGAGATAAATGATAAATTGAAAAAGAACATTAGAGTAAGACTTAGAGAGAGAAATTAAAGCTACGGAAAAAAATGAGATAAAAATTAAAGGAGGAGAAAAGAGAGAGAAATTAAAAAAAAAAAAGAAAAGAGGGGCCTTAAAAAGATATGTGTGATTCACTGAATGACAAGATAGGAAATTAAAAAAAAAAGTAAAAGAGACTATTGAACCTATTTATAAAAAAGTACTTAACATATGTCCTCAATAATCTAAAAAGATTGTATATGTCCTTATTAGCAAAAGAGTTCCTCATATTATATTTGATCAAATTTTTCCTTAAAAAGAAGTTAACAAGACACATTGGTCTAAAAGTCCCTACCGATTTGAGATCCCTAACATTACTTTTAAAACTAGCAGTTTTCCAATCTATATATCTTTTTTTTTTTGGGGGGGGGGGGACTTGAACTCTTAATTTCAAAAAAACAAAACTTTTACAAGACAAAGAGTATTATTGGACCAAAGGCACTTTGGTACCAATCTATATATCACTATTGCAGTAGAGTAAGAGTTGGGGCAAATTATACCTTCACTCTCTAAGGATAAGTCTATAGTATTGAAAGTTTTTTTTTAGTATCAAACCGTGAATTACTACTTGTTTGGGTCACCTCATAACCTTCTAGGGTCAAATTACAACTTTTTTGCGTGTTTAGGCTTGATCTTGCAATGTTTAGGATCAATTTTAAAATACCCAAACCCTAAAATTTATAACTTCTTTTGTTGTAATTAAACCCTAAAAGTTGTGGCTTAACCTACAAAAATTATAAATTTCAGTACCGTATCCACTTTGGTACCATAGTCAAACCGTCTGTCTAATAGTATTTATTAGTGGTTTCACTTCAATCTCTGATCTTTTAATTTTCTAAACAGTGAAACTACTGAAAAACATTGGGGGACAATGATGTAATTTACACAATATTTAATTTCTTGCCTCCAATGTATGAACCAATTTTCGTAGAACGCTGATCAAACTTTCATATATCCTAGTAATTCTAGAAATTTGTTTTTTCCCCTTTTTATGCATTTTTTTTTCAATGATTAAATGTATTCAGGTCAGTTTATGCATATTTGGACTTATCGGCTCCTCGGTCCAGTCAAAGGCAGCCATCCATACTGAAACTAGGGCATTTATGAGGAATATTTCTCGTAATGTGGTCTTAAAAAATTATCAAAATTTAAATTCAAGACACCTAAATCAACTGCTCGTCCCTATAATCACTTGAACTACCCTTTTTTTATCCTTTTAGATATAAGAATCATATCTCTTTATTGCCAATGAGTTCTGAATCATATCTCCTGTCATTGCCTTGTGCAATCACTACAGCTGGTACAACCATCATTCTGTGTTCTAGAGTGACTTGGCTTAGCATTATAGTTTAGCTGAGTTGAACCGACTCATATAGTTTAGGGGCTATTTTGTATTTTATTCCTTTTTTAATAGTTAATTGCATTACATCCATAGCCACAAAATTTTCAGTCCATCCAGCATTTGATTCCCTAATGAGGGACAGAAACAGAAGAGAGAATAGTTCCTCAGAATTTTTAGACCTCTGTGAAATGTAAGCAAGGGCTAGTAACTGGTTCACTGCTTTGTTGAGAAAAAAAGTGGATTATCTTTAGATAATGTGGCTGACAAACTGATTTGATGTTGACTCTTAATTTGATCATGGTCAAGTTATGTGAGACCTGATGTGTTATGCACTTACAGTAACGTGGGTCGTTACAATCTCTCCCATTCATTCCTAGTGTTCCTACGAAAGATCTACAATCAGACCAATACCACAGCAATGCGGGGTCAGTATGCTGGGTCACTGACCCCGCATTGCAGTGGCCCCAAGCCTATACAGTTATGTGCACGCGTTGGCTCAAATACTGTATCTATAAGCCACGAGATCTCAAAGGGTTAGCCAAAAAGAAGTTATCGGGAGTAATTGTCCTACACATATACCCAAGATCCGCGTGCAAACTCTAAATGCCAATACAAGTCCTTACAGCAGTTACTCAGCTCAAAAATCTTTTAATGGTTGCCATGACATTGCTTTGTCTCTACCAAATTGTCTGGTTACACCAATAAGAAAGTTATGTTCAGAAAATGACTAGGACATATGCATCATCAGTCCATGAAAACCAATTGTATATACCAAATGACTAGTATTTGAGAAGAGGTGAAAATTTTGTTTATTGTAGTATCGTTTCTAGTGCGTACAAATATCTCTAAGATCCCCGTGAAAACTTACAATGCCAATGCAAATGAGAGTCGTTACAGTTATCTTTTAAAATGGTTTCCAAGACATCACTTTTGTCTGATTGTCTCCACTATATTGTCTGTCTATGCCAATGATAAAATTACATTCAAAAAATGCCAAAGTTGTCTGTGAAAAATGATCAATAATTGAGAGGATATGAAACTTTTGTCTGCAAAAGTTATATAGAATGCCTTGTACGATAAACCGACATTAAGATAAGACTAAGTGACGATTAATTCACACCCTCATTGGCCTTTGTGTAAAAAAAACAGTTTTCATAGCAGAGACATTCTCTTATAAAAGCTCTGAAACTATGGCAAAGCATTTACACATCTCAGCTTGTGAGGTTCTCATAGTAGTGAGTTGAAATGGCAATCAGATCAGCCACATCACTGGCAGTACTCTCTTTTCTGCTGCTAATACTGGCGTCGGGTTCTGATGCTGGTGGAATTTCAATCTATTGGGGACAGAATGGAAATGAGGGTACTTTAGCCGAGACTTGTGCCACAGGGAACTATGAATTTGTTAACATAGCGTTTCTTCCAACGTTTGGCAATGGTCAGACTCCCATGATCAACCTTGCTGGCCATTGCGATCCATACAGCAATGGCTGTACTAGTTTAAGCTCGGACATAAAATCGTGTCAAGCAAAAGGAATCAAGGTGATGCTTTCGATTGGAGGAGGAGCTGGAAGCTACTACCTCACTTCTACTGAGGATGCTAGACAAGTTGCTACCTATCTTTGGAACAACTTCTTAGGGGGGAAATCGTCCTCTCGCCCCCTTGGTGCTGCTGTTTTGGATGGAATCGATTTTGATATTGAAGGAGGAACAAACCAACACTGGGATGACCTCGCGAGGTTCCTTTCTGCATACAGCAAGCAAGGCAAGAAAGTCTACTTAACTGCGGCTCCACAGTGCCCTTTCCCTGATGCTTGGGTTGGGGGTGCCCTTAAGACAGGTCTATTTGACTATGTTTGGGTCCAATTCTATAACAACCCACCTTGCCAATACACTTCTGGCAATATTGGTAACCTTGAAGATGCATGGAAGCAATGGATTTCTATACCAGCCACCAAGATCTTCCTGGGGCTACCTGCAGCTCCGGCTGCAGCAGGAAGCGGTTTTATTCCAGTGTCTGACCTCACTTCAAAAGTGTTACCAATTATTAAGGGTTCTGCCAAGTATGGAGGTGTGATGCTGTGGTCTAAGTACTATGATGATCAGACTAAGTATAGTGCTTCCATCAAGAGCCATGTGTAAAGACTGTGTAGCTACCTTATGTTTCTCTTAGTTGTATGTGTATTATCTCCACGAAATAAAAAGTGTGATTTTCAGTAACTCTATCTGTATTACTGCAATGCCAGAATGGATTGGTCCATATTTCCCCTGGTCAAGAGAGGTAAATAGAAGTCTCACTTAGCACTAATATCTTTCTACTTAAAATCAAAACGGGCTCTGTCAAGTTGAATTCACTTCGGTGTAGCATTAAAAGGTTTACCATGGAGATTTTGTTAAAATGAACCAATAAGGCCTGATTCTCAACTGCATATAGAAAGACGGGCTGTTTGGTCTACGTCTCAAAAAACAGAGTCCAAAAATTATTTTTGAGAAGAGTTTTAGAAAATTATTTTTAGTATTTTTTGTGTATCAAAACTTGTTTGGTTATATGATTCCAAAAACAGTTTTACGGAATAAAAAACATTAAAACTTGTTTAGACAGTAAGTAACCCAAAAAACAATGAAAACAAAAATGTGGTGGTGGTGGAAGAGGTGTTTTCTAAATTCTGAAGCGATTTTCCAAAAATAAATAAAAACAAAAAACAAATGGCCAAACTGCTTTTCTTCTCAAAACTGTTTTCGAAAACAGAAGCAGAAGCGGGCCTTTTCAGGTCCTAATGTTGCTCCTCCTTAGTTAATACAACTGATCTCCCTTTTCTTTCATATCACAGTATATTATAATGGTGGCATGGTTGATCAGTTATATAACATTGTCAACAAATATTTAAGATTCTATCTTCAAAACATCAATTACTGCTGACTATAATTCGTTGTCTAGTCGATACACAGAGCTAACTTTTTTATTTTATTATGCATTAAAATATACCAAATCCATATTGAGCAGCATCACCAAAGTGCAACATTCTTTCCAATTCAAAAACAGTTTCATTGTCTCTCTACAAAAGCACCAACATTCTCTGCTTGTTCAGGAATGTAGAGCTTTTGGTTCCCTAAATATCCTAGACCTCTCTTAATTTTCGGTTTTAACACGAGTTGAAAAGTATTGTAAATGTATCGACTATATGAGATGGTCTGAGTTGAAGGACAGACTACACATAAAACCGATTATTTCTCATCTTCATCTTTTATTTCATATTTGATTTTCCTTTTTACTATTGAACTGAACAGTCCATAACCTCAATGAAATTATATACAGATTTTCGATACATATGAAGATTATGTATAATTTGACCAAGCAGATTTGCAAAATGTGTGAGACCCACTCCCCACAAAAAATTCTTAACTGCATGTTCCGGACCTATAGAATAAATTTTTTATGCAAAAAAAAAATGCTTTTTGTACGACTCTGTCTGCCGTAAACTACTGGTTATATATATGTGACAGATGAGGTAAGACAACATAACTGTTCAGCCACGCATCTCTACAAAAGCACAAGATGGTAGTCATTAAGTTCTGGTAGAAAAAACACAAACAATAAATATGATTGTTAAGTCACCCTTCCTCTATAAATGGCAGGCATTGATGAAAACAATGTAAGTCACTGAAATTCTATAGCAGTGGGAGAAATCCAAGTAGGCCTAGCTAGATTGACAATGGCACTTTTGAAAGCTAATCCTCTAGTTTTCATCTCACTAGCGATGCTAATACTAGTGGCGGGTTCTGATGCTGGTGGAATCGCGATTTATTGGGGACAAAATGGAAATGAAGGCACCCTAGCTGAGACTTGTGCCACGGGGAACTATCGTTTTGTGAACTTAGCATTTCTTGCAACATTTGGCAATGGCCAGACTCCCATGATCAACCTAGCAGGTCACTGTGATCCATATAGTAATGGCTGCACTGGTTTAAGCTCGGACATAAAATCGTGTCAAGCTAAAGGAATCAAAGTGATGCTTTCTATTGGAGGAGGGGCAGGAAGTTATTCCCTTGCCTCTTCCGAGGATGCCAGACAAGTCGCAACTTACCTTTGGAATAACTTTTTGGGCGGCCAGTCCTCCTCTCGGCCACTTGGTGAGGCTGTTTTGGATGGAATTGACTTTGATATTGAAGGAGGAACAGGCGAACACTGGGATGAGCTTGCCAGGTACCTATCAGGATACAGCAGAAGAGGTAAGAAGGTTTATCTTACCGCAGCTCCCCAATGCCCTTTTCCTGATGCTTGGGTTGGAGGTGCCTTAAAGACAGGTCTCTTTGATTATGTTTGGGTTCAATTCTACAATAACCCTCCTTGTCAATACACTTCTGGAGCTGTTGTGAATCTTGAAGATTCATGGAAGCAATGGACTTCAGCTATTCCGGCTACCAAAATTTTTCTGGGATTACCTGCTGCTCCTGATGCAGCTGGAAGCGGTTTCATTCCCGTAACTGATCTCACTTCACAAGTGCTTCCAGCCATCAAGAATTCTGCCAAGTATGGTGGTGTGATGCTATGGTCTAAATACTACGATGATCAAACTGGTTATAGTTCATCCATCAAAAGCCATGTCTAAAATGTGTTGTATTCCCATCAGCCACAGGGGAATTTTATCTTCCATGTGTAATGTCTTACATATATTGCTCATTGTTGTGTGCCAACTACCATATATAAATACAGATCGTCTCTAATAAAAGTTGTAATGTAGATGTGAATTTTAATATCGAAAATCCAATTTCCAGTACTCTGATATTTCAAAGGTCCTTTCATTGGTGAGGCATTCCAACAATGATGGAGATGTTATCATATCATTCAATTATTTCACAATATGATAGTTCTTCTTGAAGAGCTGGTGTAAAACCTGAATAATGGTTTCAGTGCTTGGCACTGATAACACAAAAACTCAATGTTTTAGACTTTCATTCTTACACATAAACAAAAGAGCATACAGACACAGAGAAAGCCAAACATAACATAAGTAACAATCCAATGCCTAAATTAGAGAGTTCCTGGTAATCAACACTGCAAGGTGCAACATTTAGTTGCCCATATTCCACAGAAAATAAGAAATTTTATTTTTGTTGAGTCTACCTGGATTATTGCAGTAGCATAATTGATTTATGGTTCGTCAACTAACAAGTTGAATTCATTCTGATAGACCATTCAATGATTTAACATGAGATTTTTATGAACATTAATTTGGCCTGCACCCAAAGTGCGCTCAGATACTTTGTTTTCAGATTCTAATGCTGCTCCCATCTATTTCATAAAACTAATTTCCCTCATTCAAAAGAAAAAAAAAACAAGTTTGGCCAATGTTAAGATAACGTATTAAGTTAGAAGAAACTTTGGTTTAATCGACCTTCACCCTTCTAATGCAGCGTGCATGGTAAGATCTTCTCTTCCGAACTTTTATTACTGATAACCGTCATCTCATCATCTAGTTGACATACTGAACAAACTTTTACATTTTCTGCAATAAAACACACTGAATCCAAATTGGGTAGCATCACCAAGTGCAACATTCTATCCAATTCAAAACAGGTTTGTTGTCTCCCAACTAAAGCACCTAGTATGCAGACTCATATGCCCCCTCGTTCAGGAAACTATAACTTCTTTTTTTGTTTGCTAATTATCTTAGACCTCTCTTAATTTTCTATTTTAACTCAAATCCAAGAACGATGGAAAGTAACAACTATACTATATATGATGGTCTGAGTTGCAGGAATGCTATATGTAAACCTATTTTTTCTATTTAGTTTTCCTTTTGCTATTGAATCTAATAGTCCATAACCTCAATTAATCATATGCAGATTTTTATGCTTAGGAAGATTATGCATAACTTGGCCAAACAACAGGGCAACAAAATGCATTTCACATGATATTGATATCTAAACTGTTTGACATATATCATTATTTTAGCAGGAAACTATTCACGTTAGATAGCTGTGTGAGAAAGAACCTTGACGGATATAATTTGTAATTAGGTAAAAGAGAAAGACAAGGACTTAGAGACAAAATCATCAACATCTGAGTAGATGTAATTTGTTTTTGTTCAATTCCGTCTACTTTAAACCAAATGTAACCGATGAGGTAATACAACATGACTGTTCAGTCACGCATCTCTAGCATAAGCACAAAATAGTAGCTATTAACTTCTCTGATAAGAGACAAACAAGAAGTATGGTTGCTGAGTCACCCTTCACCTATAAAAGGAAGACATCTCTTGCCATGTCTGAGCAGTGAGCACAAAAGCAACATAAGTTACTGAAGTTCCATAGCAGTGAGAGAGAATTCCAAGTAGGCCTATCTAGATCCATAATGACAATTCACAAAGCAAGTCCTCTAGGTTTCATCACACTAGTGATGGTAATACTAGTGGTGGGTTCTGATGCTGGGGGAATCGCGATCTATTGGGGACAGAATGGAAATGAAGGCACCCTGGCTGAAACTTGTGCCACGGAGAACTATCGTTTTGTGAACTTAGCATTTCTTTCAACATTTGGCAATGGCCAGACTCCCATGATCAACCTAGCAGGTCACTGTGATCCATATAGTAATGGCTGCACTGGTTTAAGCTCGGATATAAAATCGTGTCAAGCAAAAGGAATCAAGGTAATGCTTTCTATTGGAGGAGGGGCTGGAAGCTATTCCCTTGCCTCTTCCGCAGATGCCAGACAAGTCGCGACTTACCTTTGGAACAACTTTTTGGGCGGCCAGTCCTCCTCTCGGCCACTTGGTGAGGCTGTTTTGGATGGAATTGACTTTGACATCGAAGGAGGAACAAGCCAACACTGGGATGAGCTTGCTAGGTACCTTTCAGGATACAGCAAGAGAGGTAAGAAGGTTTATTTAACTGCAGCTCCCCAATGCCCATTTCCTGATGCTTGGGTTGGAGGTGCCTTAGAGACAGGTCTCTTTGATTATGTTTGGGTTCAATTCTACAATAATCCTCCTTGTCAGTACTCTTCTGGAGCTGTTGCTGATCTTGAAGATTCATGGAAGCAGTGGACTTCAGCTATTCCGGCTACAAAAATTTTCCTAGGATTACCTGCTGCTCCTGATGCAGCTGGAAGTGGCTTCATTCCCGTACCTGATCTCACTTCACAAGTTCTTCCAGCCATTAAGGATTCTGCCAAGTATGGAGGGGTGATGCTATGGTCCAAGTACTACGATGATCAAACTGGTTATAGTGCATCCATCAAAAGCCATGTCTAATTTTGTGTAGTATTTATATGAGCTGCATGGGAATCTTATCTTCCATGTATATTCTGTTACATCTATTGTGCCATTGTTGTGTGCCAACAGCCATGTACCGTGTAAAAATATATCAATTATATTGAATAAAAAGTAGTGATGGAGATGTGGAATGTTATTATCGAAGCCCCTGTACTCTTCATAGTTTGATTATGCTTCCATTGTTCACGCGTTCCAACAATCATGGAGGCGTGACACAGTGATTCAAATTATATTGATCTCGCAAGATCCTTGTTCTTTGGTAAGAACTGGTCAGAAAACTGCATAATGGACTTAGACCTGCCCATAGATGAACATAAAATCCTCAAGGTTTCAGTCTCACACAAAAACACAAGCATGCAGACACTCGAGTGAACTTGTGAATTTGCTGCGTAGTGAATTGGTTTACATGTACAAGGCAGAAAATGACTAGTGACATAGGTATTTTCGGTTAAATTATCAACTCCTCACTGTGTGTGTGTTGGGGGGGGATAAATTATCTTTCTTTGCAATCAACGTATAAAATTACAACCACGTTCTAATGGAAGTATGCAACCATGCACCACCAATTCATTAACAGAATTTTATAAATGAAAATTACTCATATGTTGACCCATAGTTATTCTATTCCTAGTCAAAACTATTGATGTTTCACAAGAGATGTATGTGAGTGAAAGGGATACTCAAACTAAGAGTAAAACCTCATATATGTAGCTAAATAATATTACAAAGTGACCTAAACATTCTTATAGTTTAGGCAAAATATAAAAGTCATAATAAAGGTAAAAAGAGAAAAATAACCCTAATAAACTAGGCCTAATAAATTAGGCTACTATAACTCCAACACTCCCTCTCAAGTTAGGCGCAAAAATGTCAACTAAGCCAAGCTTGACAACCGAATTCCGGAGAATGGATAGAGTGACAGGTTTGGTGAAAACATCCGCAACCTAATCACTGGTCCCCACAAAAGATGGAGTGACAATACCACTGCTAACCTTCTCTCACAGAAAGTGAACATCGATCTCTATATGCTTCGTCCTCTTGTGTAATATAGAGTCAGAAATAAGTTGAATAGCAGATCAATTATCACAATATAATGTATATGAAGAAGTCACTGAAAATCCCAACTCACCAAGAATCGATCGTAGCCAGATAATCTCACATGTGCCAAGTGTCAATGCCCGATACTCTGCCTCTACTGACGAACGAGAGACAACTAACTGATTCTTACTCTTCCAAGAGATAAGATGAGTTCCTCGAAAAGCACAGAAGCCTATAGTAGATCAACCGTCACACGCTCCCCCATAATCTGAATCTAAATAACAGGCTAAAGAACCGGTCTAAGATCCTGATGCATAGAACAACCCAAGTCCAAGACAAGACTTAAGGTACCGAAGGATATGATAAACTACATCAAGATGAGGCTAACATGGTCTGTGCATAAACTAACTAACTCGGCTGACAGGGAATAAAATGTCTGGCCTAGTGTTGGCTAGGTAGATAAGTCTATCTACCAACCTCTGATAAACAGTCGGATCTCTCAACTCCTCCTCTTCAACAGTAAGCTTCAGGTTTGAAATCATGGGTGATGATGTCGGTTTGCACCCTAGCATCCCAGTGTCTGAAAGAAAATCCAGAACATACTTTCTCTGAGAAAGAATAATATCCTTTCTGCTGTGGGCAACCACAATCCTAAGAAAGTATCGCAGAAATCCAAGATCATTCACATCGAAGGCCTTCCCAAGGTCTATTTTGACCTGCACAGTCCTAGAAACATCATCTCCAGTAATAATAATATCATTAACATATATCAAAAGGATGACACACTGTTCAGAAGTATTCCGTCGAATGAAGCAGGTATGATCAGAATGACATATGATGAATCCTAAATGTACAACTACATCACTAAAGCGAGAGAACTAGGTTCTTGGTGACTGTTTCAGTCCATAGAGAGACTTACGTAGTCGACATACCTTCCAGTATACTCCCCCTCACCATAAAATTTCGGTGGTGCATCCATATAAATAATCTCGTCTAGATCACCGTAAAGAAATGCATTCTTCACATCCAACTGATGAAGAGGCCAAGAGTACTCCGCAGCCAGAGAAATAATCAATCGAATAGTAGTCAATTTTGCCACGAGGGCAAAGGTAGTACCAAAATCACGATCCGATACCTGAGTAAAGCCCTTCGCCACAAGCCTAGCCTTGTGACAATCAATAGTACCATCTGCAAGAAACTTCAGGGTGTAAACCCGGCGACAGCCAATAGGCTTCACCCCTGAAGGTAAAAAGACAAGATCCCATGTATGATTACGCTGAATAGCGTCCATCTCCGTCTGCATGGCAAGAACCCACTAGGGTTCCCGCATAGCCTCTGAAATAAAGCAAGGAACCGACGTATCTGATAGGGTCATACTATAAGCTCGAAATGTAGGAGAAAAATCACCATAAAAAATATAAGCAGAGATCGGATATAAAATCCTGGCGGTCCAACCATAATGGACAACTGGACAGCAATCACGCTGCGGATAACGACGCCCTAAATCATCATCCTCTACTGACATTGTCTCATAAGGGAAAGTAACTGACTCAGTACCTGCAATCTCATCAGTACTAACAACAGGTGTATTAATATGTTCAACAGACTGAGAAGTATTACCTGCATCGCCTGAGGTAGAGGGGACATCAATAGGGGAATGAGAACGAGGGCGATGAACATAAACCTGTAAAGGAAGAGAAACTGGTGATTCTGTAGTGACAGGGACAAGTGGATTTAGTGGAGGAGAGACTGATGACTCTGTAGTAATAGTAACCAATGGCTCTGACTCCTGTGGTAACGAAAAATCAAAGGGAGTATCATAAACTGGAGGGGCAGATACAGGAATGGAAGAAAAATAAGGAATGTGCTCAAGAAAGGTAACATCTAGACTGTGATACATATGACGCTTGATAGGATCCTAACACCTATACCCCTTAGACTGATGACAATAGCCCACAAAAACACAAGGAATCGCTTTATCATCAAGCTTATGACGAGTAGGAGACCGATCCTAAACAAAATATGTGCAGCCAAAAATACGAGGGGGGACCGAAAAAAGTGTCTGCTCAAGGAATAAGACCTGTAAGGGAGCCCTATGCTGAAAAACATGACTCGGTGTACAATTATACAAAAAGGTAGAAGTCAAAACAGTAAAATACCAATAAGATTTTAGTATCCCATACCTCTAAGCATACAACGTACCATCCCTATTAGACTCTTATTTTTTCTTTCAGCAACTCCATTTTGCTCAGAAATATATGGACAAGTGAGTTGCTGAAGGATACCCTGAGAAAAAAGGTGAGACACTAAGACATCAGACACATATTCTTTGGCATTATCCGAACGAAGAGCACGAACAATGACATCAAATTGTGTCTTAATGATCTGGAGAAACTGAGTGATGACAGGGAGTACATCAGATTTTCTATGCAAAAAGTAGACCCAAGTACAATGGGTGTGGTCATCTATAAATGTCACATAGTATCAAGCACCTGACAGAGCAATAACAGGAGAGGGTCCCCAAATATTAGAGTGTATTAGGTCAAATGACTTGGGTGACTGGTGTATGCGAGGAATATAGCTGATCCGAACATGTTTCGATACGGAACATATAACACAATCAAGTTTACCACCAACACAAGCATTGCTTAAAGTAAGAAATAACATACATAAATATTTAAAATTTGTATGCCCAAAACGGTCATGCCACAACTGAACAGTTTGTGATGAAAAATCATAACGACAAGTACTAGGCAAAATACTAGCATGCAAACTGGGAACAGATAAAGACAAAGTAGGTGTAGGTGATAGAGGTGGAGGAACTGGTGAAGCTAGAGGTAGATCACCTAGATAATATAATTCATCTCTCTCATGTCTCCTGATAATAATCTTCTTGGTATTCAGGTCCTGCAAATAACACGAATCAAATAAAAACACAATCGCACAGTGAAAATCTCTGGTTAACTGATGTACGGATAATAGATTCATAGCCAATTTTGGCGCATGAAAAACTGAATGTAATGTAAAGCCATCTGGGAGGTAGACTGTACCCCTACTAACAATAGGGGCATGTGTTCCATCTGCTAGCTAAATCTGTGTATGTAACTACTCGTCAAAAGTGGTGAAGTGATGGGCCTCACCTGTCATATGACCATTCGCACCCGAGTCTAGCATCCAAAGAGGAGACGAACTAACGCAAGTATGAAAGGTACAAGGTATACCTATAGTGGTGGCAGTAGCAATAGTCGGATCCTGAGAAGTCAGGGCAGACATAAACATATCCAATGAAAAATGATAGCATCCATATCACTCTGCCAAGGAGGAGCAATAGGAACAACAGTAATAGGTGGTGGTACCTCAACAATAGCAGTAGTACGACTGCGAGACGACGACTTAAGCTCCGGATAGGGCTTCTAGCAAGTAACCCTGAGATGGCCTGCTCGGCCACAATAATCACACTTACGAGAACTAGGAGGTACATTCTAGGTGGAAGGTGACTTAAGCTCTGGATAGAGCTTCCAACAAATAGTCTTGAGATGTCCTGGTCGGCTACAATAATTACACTGTACATTCCAGGTGGAAGTACTAACAGCAGAGGTCTCAACAGTAATAGCCATAGCAATAATAATACATGGGCATCCGTGATAGAAAAACTAACTCTAAGATAAATAGAGAGATAAAATAAGGGAGAACAATATACTTTCAGTCGAACAGTAGCGACAAATAAAGAAGGTCCATAAAAGTTCTCTAATAATCAGGTTACAGTGCCTAGAAATTCAAAAAATATAAATAAATGATCTACTGCTTCAAGAGCAAATCAAAGCAGAAGAGAATTCAATTCCTCTTAGAATGTCCTACAGTCCCAAATAATTAGGCGGAGGAAGGCAAAAACACGAAACTGTAATAGGTACTGTATTCGTTGGATTGTAATGAGTTTTGTTGATTTTGTCTTTTGTGTTCTAAGTTTTTATCTTTTACTTATTTTGTTCGATTTTGCTGGTTTGTTGATGGTAAACTTGGTATATGTTCATAGGCAGCGAGAGGTAGGGGCTAGGGTGGGCACATGCCCCCCCTCAATTTTTTTTTTTTTATTATTTAGATATATGTATTATATATTTATACATATATATTATGTGTGTCCACTCATTTATATTAGACTCATATTATTTACTCAAAATATTTAAAAAATTAAACCCATTTAAAACAAAAAAAATTAAACTCACTATTATCTAACTAAACTTATTAAAAAATCAAATATTTGACTTATCACAATCCACACAAACCTATTAAAAAAACAAAATTTTTAGCCTAACATTAAATACAAAATTTTTTGCCCAACATTAAAAACAAAACTTTTGGCCCACCATTATTAAAAAATAAAATTTTTGGTCCACTTGACTTAAACTTATCTTATCTTTTTTTTTTCCCTCTCTGTATCAGTCACTCCTAGCTGCCCACTGCCGAGCCACAAGAAAAAAAGAAGAAACAGAAAGAAGCTCAACACATGAGAAGCTTAGTTCCTTGAGCTTTTTTGTCCTTTCTTGTACCAACCTATAAAATTATTTTTATACATTATATTTACCCCCTAAATTTTTGGAAATTTTAAAAATAGTTCTAGTCTTTTTTTTAATAAATTAGTGGACCACTAACCNATATTTGTTATTTTTTAAGAATAATTTTTAGTTTTTATTTACCATTTTTTTTAGTAATAGTAGTCTGTAACCTAATAAAATACAANCTATTTGTATATTGACAAAAATACAATATTTTTCTTTATCTAACACAATGTTTGTTACTTTTTAAGAATAATTTTTAGTTTTCATTTACCATTTTTTTTAGTAATAGTAGTCTGTAATCTAATAAAATACAATTATATACAAAAAATAAAAGGTTGTAACTCAAAAATATTTCAAACTATTTTGAATAGGAAATTTCTCTATAAGATTGATAATGATTTCAACTAAATTTTGTAACTAAATAAAGAATAATTTTAATACGTACTTGTGATTGTGCGCATTGATAAAAAATTAGTGAAAAATTAATTTACATTTAATTCATATACAAAATTTTAGAGATTTTAAAATTTTTTATATTTTATTGAAATATATAATTAGGTTAAAATGTACTAAAAAAATTATTTTGTGTCTTTTTATTAAGATTTTGTTTCGATTAAATAAAAATTGAATTTACTATTTCACAATTATTTATGGTTGATTCTTACTTTTTTTTATTCTTGAATTGAATTTTTTTGTATTAATTTTTGTTAAATATTTTTTTATACCAGTTATATTTTACCTTTATCATAGATATTCATTACTCCGCCCCTGGCAATATACATTTTTTTTTTAAATTTTTTTATGTTAAATGAACTTTATATATCAAATATAATATAATAAATATAAATATGTCATATAGTGTAATTGATTAGAAAGAAAAAAATTAGATTACTAAAGTGCCCACCTGAATAAGATTGCTGGTTAGCTGTGTTGTCGGTGAAGAAAGATGGGTAATGCTGGCTGTCGGTGTGGTCTGGGCAGTCGGTGGATTCACTGAAGTATGTTGTTTAGGCAGTGGGTTCAGTCGGTTGGTTTGATTGTTGTTGTTTGAGTGATGGCCGCGTGGTGTAGTTGCTGGATCGACTGGGATTGAGGTTGCTAAGTGGCTGTGGTTGCTGGGTGGAGTGGTATGCTTGCTGGGAAGCTGTTTGAGGCTGTCGGTGCTACTGGGAAGTGTGGTGATTGGTGGCTGATTACTGTTGCAATGTGGAAGAGAGACAGCGGCTGGGTCTGTTTGGTTACGACGATTGGCAGAGGCCAGGTTAGGGTTAATGGCTTTGATAGCAACAAGAGATATATGCGAGTGAAAAGAATATTCAAACTAAGAGTAAAGTCCCATATATATAACTAAATAATATTATAAAATGACTTAAACATCTTTATAGTCTAAACAAATTATAAAAGTCATAATAAAGGTAAAAAAAGAAAAATAATCCTAATAAACTAGGGTTAATAAATTAGGCTACTGTAACTCCAACTGTTTCAAACTAACAACCACCAGGAACTAGCAATCTTTGTGAATGTGAAAGCCCGAAATTTATTTGCTTCTCTGTCCTACTTGGTATCCTTCAGCCGAGTGGATCCATGTGTCGCAGGAATCTATATTTAATTCCTATGTGTAACATTAGTAGATTTGCACCGTTAATGACAATCCAATAGCTCAGATGAGATGCTTGGTGATTTGACCAGGTGATTGAGGTTGAACCCCTTACACATATGGCTGCAACTTCTTGTCGCTGTAGCTGGTAGGACATCCAAGCCGACCGTTTAATTTTTCAGCATACTGTTTTTTCTTCTTTGTTTTATGTGCCACAAACCCTCCAGAGAAGACACAGCTGCAATATTATAGTAAGGGCGTTGCTGTTTTCAGCATGTTATATGCCATTATTTCTAGATTATATTATACTGTATGCATGGAATATCACTGTTTAAACATGGTCCATGGCTTATATATTATTGAAACATAACTTTCAAGAANTTTTATGTGCCACAAACCCTCCAGAGAAGACACAGCTGCAATATTATAGTAAGGGCATTGCTGTTTTCAGCATGTTATATGCCATTACTTCTAGATTATATTATACTGTATGCATGGAATATCACTGTTTAAACATTGTCCATGGCTTATATATTATTGAAACATAACTTTCAGAAAAAAAATAATTGACCTCACCTTCATGACCCATTCTTGCAGATCATTCCATTCTTTATGTTATATATCTTTGCAATCAATATGCTTCTAGAACATCATCTTCTACTTTATTTCACCAATTATATTTTCTGTTTAGAACTTTCAGAGATGGACACTGTATGGTATTGTTTGTGTAACAATTCGCAATTTATATAAGAAGAAAATTTCTTGGTATTGGATCTTTGTATGAGACAATCAAACAAAGAAAATGAAACAATCTTTAAAAATCTTTCATTAANTGTTTAGAACTTTCAGAGATGGACACTGTATGGTATTGTTTGTGTAACAATTCGCATGTTATATGAGAAGAAAATTTCTTGGTATTGGATCTTTGTATGAGACAATCAAACAAAGAAAATGAAACAATCTTTAAAAATCTTTCATTAATCATTGTCCATGTCAATTGGAACTTGGAAGATCTCTAAAACGGTGATGATAAGGATAATTATAGTCAAATTGGCCATTGAAACAAAAATTGAGGAGGTTTCCTTTTGGATATGATTATACGTGTCGTTGTAAGACATGTGTTCATGTCACACAAATAGTTTCTCCACATTGGAGAAAAAGATGCGTGCAGAGTCTATGGCCCTCCCCGTTTTATGGTGATAAAAGTCTCGTGCGTGCAGAGTCTATGGNCGTTGTAAGACATGTGTTCATGTCACACAAATAGTTTCTCCACATTGGAGAAAAAGATGCGTGCAGAGTCTATGGCCCTCCCCGTTTTATGGTGATAAAAGTCTCGTGCACTGAGNGAAAAAGATGCGTGCAGAGTCTATGGCCCTCCCCGTTTTATGGTGATAAAAGTCTCGTGCGTGCAGAGTCTATGGCTGCTCTTTTTACTTGTGTCACTGCTTGGGCTTGATTACTTAGAAAATATGCATTTTCGGGTGTGCATGATATTGTGGTTATTGTAGGATACTAGTTATATTAGCCCTATCCCTCTAGTGACTTTAAAAGCATTTCATTCTTTTCATTTCCTTCTCACACAACAATTGCAAAATGCCCATGGAAAACTGTCCTCTAGCCACTGACAGCTTTTCATACAGTTGGCTAACAAACAGAAAACCTTCTGTAGATGGCCTTGATGAGGAACCCCTCAGACCATCCCCAGACAGTTCCAATGAAGCCACTAAGGATATGAAGTATGAGATCGTAAAATCGAGAAGATTCTTTGAAGAAGATCAGAATTTCAATTTTGATACTCCTGTCTTTAAATCTCCGGTTACTCTTGTTCATGCTGATGAAATTTTCTCTGATGGACATATCATGCCAGTCTATGATAATCGATCCAAGATAGAGGCCTTCAATACCTCAAACTCTGATACTGCCATACCATTATCTTCTCTTTCTTGCAGAGCTGTATGTCCAGTTGATAGGATTCATTGTCATTTCCTCAGGAAATGGAGGAAATCATCAAAGAGAATATTTATGAAGTGTTTTGGATTTCTCAGACCTTGGTGCCTGGGGGTTGGATGCTCCAGAAAAAGTATTAGAGTTGATGATATTGATGGGAAAGTGTTGGAAGTTCACAGCTGGGGCAATTCACTCCATGAATCTCCACAAACACAAAGAAGTACAGCTTGTGATTGGTCTCACACCAAGCACATAAGCAATAAAGTTGATAGATATTGGAGACTGAAGAAGACTAAGAGGTGGAACAATTCTCCACAATCATCTCCACCACGAAATCCTTCTTATTCTGCAGATGGTTGGTGTGATACTGAAAGATCAATTTATGAGGCAGTTCTTCACTGCAAAAGATCAATTGGTATGTTCATACTATCGTAGTTTACGCAATCATTTACTGACTACTGATGAATCTTTATAGGTTCTAATTAATATAAGAGGATTTTTGTTTTTACTCAGAAGAAAAGGAAATGGCAGAAGAAGAAAGTGATGCAGAGCCTTAAGGAATGCATGGCAAGGGATTGAGTGATGCTTTAATAGAACATGTTCTTTTTCCCATTCTCTCCCCTTTTCCCTCTTGGTTGTATGTGCAATTTTTGTCTTTTAAAGGAACAACAGTTTCATTATATCTCAGCTTGGAAATTCTCATATAAAGAATATACATTAACTTATTTTTTGTTCTTCCTTTTCAAAAACTCTCTCTCTCTGGTTATATTGTTTGTTCATCCATAGTTCAGAAAATGCAGGAATCTAAGTGGCATATGATTTAGTGCATTGAGTTCATACCCACATCATGGTTTCGTAGAAAGTATGGCCATTGATAGAGCACACACTAGCAAAACAAGATTCATTTAATCATTTCTAAAAATGTTAGGACAATACTTTGTTGAGTTGAGTTAATACCCAATTCAAGGAAAAGAAAAGAGAATTTTTCTTTTTAACAGGGAGAGAGCTGGTGAGATTCGAACCGGCTACCTAATAGTCCAACAGCGGGCTGTGGTGGCCATTAAACTAACCGTNTTTTAACAGGGAGAGAGCTGGTGAGATTCGAACCGGCTACCTAATAGTCCAACAGCAGGCTGTGGTGGCCATTAGACTAACCGTTNAGAATTTTTCTTTTTAACAGGGAGAGAGCTGGTGAGATTCGAACCGGCTACCTAATAGTCCAACAGCGGGCTGTGGTGGCCATTAAACTAACCGTTGATCCTAAAAAAAGAGGATTAAGGTGTTGGGAGAAGAAATGTGAAAGGAATATTGTCCTTGAGGCACAATGATGGCATCATCTTATTGGAGTTATTAATGGTGAGATAGGGCTTTAGAGGGACCTCACATGGTTTCATTTTTCTATTTTTGTGGCAATTGTTTTGCCATTTTGTGGATTAGGTCCAACTAAGTTGATGCTAGGGCCACCCGAACTCTTCAAGATTAGCATGCTTGCAAAGGAACTAAAACTAATACAATATGCCAGCTTTTTTGGCTGTTCTGCATAATTCAATTACTGTCATCATTTTTTTTTTTTGGCTCAATTTAAACTAATCAATTGGATTGTATCTGTAAAATTGTCACCGGATTGCTTCAGCACCTGGATTACACTATATTAAAATACCCTTAACAATTTCTTTTTCAGAAAGGCATGGAATCTCCCACTATTATTCTTGCCCTCTTGATGTGCATAAGTATCGATAATTAGGGTTAATCTAAAATTGTACCTTAAAAGATTTTTTGAATCATAATTTATACCCTCAAAGATAAAAAATTTTAATTTGCACCCTTAAAGATATAAATTTATATTAATGCACACCTGAAGTTAACAACTGTCAATTTGCCGCCTAAAACTACATGGATAAATTATACCTAGACCCTCTTATGCTTGTCACTTAATCATTTAAACTTTTCACATTTGAAATATTATACCTACATCCCTTGAAAATCTAAATATGACTAAAAATATTCCCCTAATTAGGCATCCAAATAATTTTGTTCAAGTGATGTATTAAATTGGATATAAAAAAAATTATATAGATATCTGCATTATATTGGGCATTCAAATGGTAAGTTTGATTTTGAACTTTAGAATATTATGAGTCCACAAAATAAGAGTAGGATGAAAATTATAATTTTTTATTAGAATAAAATTATTTTTTTTACAATTATATTAACAGATGTTAACGGCAAAAGATTATGTATTACACATACACAAATGTCATGAGGTATAAAAGTAATATCTTAAATGTGAGGGGTTCAAATGATTAAGTGACAAACTTGAAGGGTTTAGGTGTAACTTACCCAAGTAGTTTCAGACAACAAATTGATGGCTGTTAATTTTAGGTGTGCATTAATACAAATTCATATCTTTGAGAGTATGAATTGAAATTTAAGATAATTTTCATGGTGTAATTTACGATTAACCTCGACAATTATCGATAGATGTTCTGGTGTTGCTTTTTACCATGAAACTTGCTGTTAAGAACATAAAAAATAATGCCAATTCTACAAGCAAGGGAAACCTTTGAACAAGATTAAAATTTTGTTTTGAAACGATCGAAACATTTAAAACGTTTCTGTTTCTAAGAAAACCGAAATGAATAAGTGATAAAATCAAAATTCTAATATTTTAAAGTATTCCATAATGTTTCGAGATATTTTGTAATATTTCAATACATTAAAAGAATTGTTTCAGAATGTTTCAAGGTATTTTAAGATACTTTAATATATTTTGACAAATGTTTTGAAAAAATAATTCTTAATTATTTTATTTTTTCATTATATTTTCTAAAACGGATCGAAACGTCTCTGTTTCTTAAGTGACCGAAATAATATAGCGAAACGAAAAATTTGATCCTTCCCTGTGCATTATTGAGACAAAATTCCAAGTCACAAGAAAAACAAGCAAGACAATAGGGGTCCATGGACAACCTCTGCTAGGGAAAAAACCACAATTGATGCCATCACCCTTTTTGTTTTCTGTATACTTCTTTATTGCACTTTGTTTCTATCCTCTATCATGAAGAAGCACCACAAAATGAGTATCAAACCCCTTTACATTATGTCCCTCTTGTATCTGAATTTAGGTCGAGGGGACCAATATCCAAGACATCTTACTTGTCACCGCTACCAGTTCTTCTGTCCATGTCCAGTGTTGACACCAATAACAAATTGAAATGCAGTGATGAGGTATGGAGGATCATGGAATTGGAGATAACGCATTTCAACTTGTTTGAACTTTGATTTATATTCAATGCTTAACCATTCTTGTATTTAAGTTGGAATCTACATAGAAAAAAGAAAGCATCTTACATCTAAACTTTGTGTGTATTGTGTTTATTGTCTATTTCTTACTCTTACTTACCTATAACTAATTAAAATTCGGGTAAAAGAGAAGAGTTACGTTAAATAGAAGCTAATATAAAATTAAGGGTAAAATATATTTTCGGTCTCCAAAGTATGTATTTAGTGTATATTTAGTTCCTAATTTTTCAATTATGTTTATTTGGTCCCTAAGGTTTTTAATTTATATATTTGTGGTTCAATCTCAAACGTCGTCAAAAAAATTGTAGATAATTCTGGTCATTTACGTGATTTTTAATTTTGTGTCTATTTGGTCCCTAAAGTTTCTAATTTGTGTCTATTTGGTTCCTAAAGTGTCTAATTTGTGTTTATTTGTTCCCACGTGATTGACGCATGACAAAAATTGTTAACAATTTTTTGATTTACATTTGGTATTGAACTATACATATACAAATTAAAAACCTTAGGAATCAAATAGACACAATTGAAATATTGAAGAGTGAATAGACAATACACGCATACTTTGAAGAGCGAAAGTGTATTTTATCCTAAAATTAACTGGTGTATCAAGTAGTGTATCAGTACCAGACCAGCTCACTCGATTACTGGCTTCGGATTCTGATAAATTCAAAAAATCCCCATCAAGGGCCACTTCTTGTGAAACAAGGTAGAATCACCTGAGAAGTTAGAGAGGGGGACCAAAAACATGGCAGTGTTGCATGTCGGAAATGTCAGCCATAGGTCCTTGTTGATGCACTGAAAGACAAATGGTAAGTAGCTCTTCATGTTCCAAAATTGCACATGCCAAGTCCAAATTGAGATTCCTTGCACCAGACTTTTTTTTTCTGAAAGATGTAGAAGAATGCACCAAGCCTAACACGAAACTCGTGGTTTGAATAAGGTCAGATATACACAAAATCTTATTTTACGTATTGGGAGTTTATTTTCATGATTCGTGCGTGCCTAGTCAATAAATCGGAAAAAAGTGTCCAGCTTCACGTAATGACATACAAGATTCCCCATAGCCATCCAGTTGGGGACCAATGCCTCTTTGGCAGTCACACAAGTCATTGTTTAATTTTAACCAACTCCCTTTCATCTTGAAAACTTCTACAACAAACACCAGCCAACCTGGTTCATGCATGCATTTATTTAATTCATTGATCAGTCCATTTTCGGCATTATGTCAGACATTAGAGCATAGCATTTCTGCACGAAGACATCTACATTAGGAGAGTACACAACCTAATTTTTTGTTCGCTAGACGAGTAGATTGTAGTGCTACTTCTACTCATATAAAGATCATTATATTCTGGGAGGCAAACACTCGATATTTCATAAACATCGTGTGTGAAGACGAAATCTGTCTTAAAGACATAGCGTCAAATACTAACTTTGATCTACATCAACTTCAATAACATTTCATGTTCTGCAACTGGATTAGTATTGCTTTTGGTTTGATAGACAGTTAAGTATAACTGTTTCATAAGACTACTGTAATTTTTTCGTATAAGACTATTTCTGTGTAACTGTTTCATACTTGTTTGTTACTGTTTTGTTTCAAATTAGAAATTTTAATAAGTAATTTTACTATATTTAGAATACCACAAACAACACTATGCACACCAAATTTGTGTATTAAAAGTATGCACTAACTCATTGTCGGTCGTTGGATCAATGGGAGTCACTATCATCCAACGACCGACAATTATTTGGTGCACAAAATTAACGCAAATAGAATCATCCCTAGTTGATATACAAATTTGTGAGTGCCCCCCTTACTCTTCTTTTCTACGCCCAATCAAATCCCTATGCAGCCCTAATTATCGAGTAAATATTAGGCGTAACGGTTATACTTAGCATTGTCAATTAATGTAATCATTCAAATCATATTATTCAATTTATTAAAATTTTTATTATGTGAATAAAAAATAAATTTTTGAATAAAATAAATTTTTTGCCTTCAAATTCAACCACTCACTTTTAAAACCCACTCCCATGGATTTTACCAAACCACTAATACTTGATTTTTAATGCATTATTCATTACGGATTGAGAGCAAGTTAAGGTATAAATCTCGAACTTAAAAAGTTTTATCGGACTACTTTTCTTAAAACCCTCTTCTAAACCCACCCAAACCCGCTAAACAAACCGGCCCTGTAACTGTTACACCCAATCCTCTCTCTCCTTCCTTGTGTTTCCTTCTGTATCTAAATCATCTCCATCTCAGCCCAAAATTCTGTCCCCAATCATACGTCCATCGCAGCCCTATATCTCCTTGAACGATATTCTGTTGCAGTCTCTTCTCTCTCTCTCTCCATCGGCTCACTCCCTCCCCAATCTCCCGTCTCGCTCTCATCACCAGTCGAAGCCAGCCACAGCCATTGGGCTAAACAGGTCGGGTAGGGAAAAAAATGCCAGCAGTGGGATTTGAACCCACGACGTTCACGAAGAGCAGAACTTGAGTGTGGCGCCTTAGATAACTCGGCCAAGAAGAAGGCTGAAATTAAACTCCGTTACCTTAGCAACCAACCTGAGAGTCGCAAGCACAGACCATGAGCGCTCCACCGTCGCCCGTCGGCGTCGAAGAGTGATTACGAAACTGAACGCTACCTCTGTTAGGGTTTGGATTTTTGAACGGAAAGACGTGACGAAACGCGCGTAAGACTCTCTCCCTCTCTCTCTCCCTCTCTCTCTCCCTCTCATTCTCTCTCTTAGGTCTGTTAATTACAATTTCTTATGTTTGTATGATCCATACACATCCATATGTATATTGACAAATTCAATACTTCAACGGTTTCTTTTGCTCGCGATATGCTTTAATGCTACTTGAACCGGTAATTCCAGACAATGAAACTCACACACACACACACACATTCTTAGACTCATTGGAGTGTACTGATTGTTTCTGCTTAAGTTTCCGACTGTACAGTTAGATTCCAGTCTGTATAGGAGCAATCAACCATTTTATTGGGAAAGATCATGCCGTTTTTGTAATGCAAGTGTATTCTTATACCAATCTGTCGCATTGAATTTACATGTAATAATAATGTGTTGCTTTTATGTCCTCAGTCAGTCCTTATCCTCTGTCTTTCCGATGAATACAATGTATACAATCCACCAAAGAAATCCAATGAATCCGGCTCCATTTACGTCTTCGGCACCACAGCCTTGGCCTCCAGTATTACCACCTTTGCCACCACAATCCANACCTGAGAGTCGCAAGCACAGACCATGAGCGCTCCACCGTCGCCCGTCGGCGTCGAAGAGTGATTACGAAACTGAACGCTACCTCTGTTAGGGTTTGGATTTTTGAACGGAAAGACGTGACGAAACGCGCGTAAGACTCTCTCCCTCTCTCTCTCCCTCTCTCTCTCCCTCTCATTCTCTCTCTTAGGTCTGTTAATTACAATTTCTTATGTTTGTATGATCCATACACATCCATATGTATATTGACAAATTCAATACTTCAACGGTTTCTTTTGCTCGCGATATGCTTTAATGCTACTTGAACCGGTAATTCCAGACAATGAAACTCACACACACACACACACATTCTTAGACTCATTGGAGTGTACTGATTGTTTCTGCTTAAGTTTCCGACTGTACAGTTAGATTCCAGTCTGTATAGGAGCAATCAACCATTTTATTGGGAAAGATCATGCCGTTTTTGTAATGCAAGTGTATTCTTATACCAATCTGTCGCATTGAATTTACATGTAATAATAATGTGTTGCTTTTATGTCCTCAGTCAGTCCTTATCCTGTCTTTCCGATGAATACAATGTATACAATGCACCAAAGAAATCCAATGAATCCGGCTCCATTTACGTCTTCAGCACCACCGTCNTTTGGATTTTTGAACGGAAAGACGTGACGAAACGCGCGTAAGACTCTCTCCCTCTCATTCTCTCTCTTAGGTCTGTTAATTACAATTTCTTATGTTTGTATGATCCATACACATCCATATGTATATTGACAAATTCAATACTTCAACGGTTTCTTTTGCTCGCGATATGCTTTAATGCTACTTGAACCGGTAATTCCAGACAATGAAACTCACACACACACACACACATTCTTAGACTCATTGGAGTGTACTGATTGTTTCTGCTTAAGTTTCCGACTGTACAGTTAGATTCCAGTCTGTATAGGAGCAATCAACCATTTTATTGGGAAAGATCATGCCGTTTTTGTAATGCAAGTGTATTCTTATACCAATCTGTCGCATTGAATTTACATGTAATAATAATGTGTTGCTTTTATGTCCTCAGTCAGTCCTTATCCTGTCTTTCCGATGAATACAATGTATACAATGCACCAAAGAAATCCAATGAATCCGGCTCCATTTACGTCTTCAGCACCACCGTCTTGGCCTCCAGTATTACCACCTTTGCCACCACAATCCAATGTTTTTTGGGAGACCACAAATGTGTATGATCGTCTTAAAGAATTGCATGACACTATTGACCTCGCAAAAGCAATGTAAGTAATTCTTTGGTTAATATTTAACTCGGTCATATGGGAATTTTAGGCTTCATTGTTTGATATTTGGCTTTAATAATACCAGGCAGAAAGAGTTAGAGGTGTTGATTATAATGAAAGATGGTAAAGGGTCTATTGAGGGTGTGGAGAATGGGTGTAGTGACACTTTGATTCATAGGTTCTCTAAGTTCATAGTGGATAATAGGATCAATGTGGCTTCCCAAGAATCTGAGTCGTTGGAAGCTGCAAATGCATTAATATCAAAACTAGGAGTTCAGCTCGAGCCATTTAGGGTTGTCACGGATGACACAAGTCGTTGGGAGGAAAAAAGTGCAGCTGTGAGATTAGCCAATAAAATGCAGAAACGCAAGAGAAACAAACTTTGGCGTAGGAGGAGGAGGAAACACATTGCGGAACAGCTAGCGAAGGTGGTTAAGTTTCGATATGTTCTCCTTCCCATTCCTGTTCATTTTTGTTAATGTTATCTTTTGAACAGAAATCAAAAGTTATGTTTTTTGCATATTTATCTGTTGATGACCTTTAGGAGCATGAAGGATTTGCCCAAGCTGATCAAGAAGCTGATGAATGGAGAGCTAGAGAGATTGCCAAGGATATTGCCAAACGCAAGGTATGTCTTTGTTGTACGCAACTCACCATCATTAGAGTGTTAAATCTCCATTTGTTTGTTTGCTTCATTTGAAAAAGATAATTATTGTTCAAAATTCATTCAGCAAGAATCAAATGGATTACGGGTTATTGAAATTGCCTAGGAATTGCCATTTTCCGGCTATTGGGAAGCTAATTGTTGTTGCTCTAGTCACTGAGGCATGTTGTTGTGCAGGTAGAAAAGATGAAAGAAATTGCAAAGGTAAAAGCAAAGGAAGAGAGAAAGAGATTAGAATCCGAGGTGAGACTGGTTGACCCAAGGATATTGATACTAATGAGAAACTGCTTCAGTCTACACATTTTTATTCTATTTGCTTACTAATGAAAGCTTGTCAGATGTCCTTGTAAATAGTATGCTTTCCAGGTTTTTTGTTTGAAGCCAGACCTTTTGTTGATTACACATGTGCACTTTTACCACTATCCAGTATGTTTTTTTCTTTTTAATTTGGCTTTGGCTATAATCCGTATTTTTTGAAATTGTGTCTTTCATAAAAGTTTATATTCACGGAGTAGGCATTCTATTTTTGAAGCATGGGCTATTAATCCTGTTAAATCATCAACTCCTTTAAAAGTTTAAGATGCTAGTGTAACAGAAGTATTTATACATTTCAACACATCCCCTCAAGCATGGACCAGATTTTGGGCTAACCACCAAGTACTATAATCATCAGAGTGGTGCCAAACTTTAAACGCANAAAAGTTTAAGATGCTAGTGTAACAGAAGTATTTATACATTTCAACACATCCCCTCGAGCATGGACCAGATTTTGGGCTAACCACCAAGTACTATAATCATCAGAGTGGTGCCAAACTTTAAACGTAAGACCTCCTGCATTTCTGAGTTGCCCAATCTGACAGAATATATCAAATTTCAGCTTGAGCTCGTATTGATTGTGGAGAAGTTGCAAGAATTACGGTCCATCAGGATCCAGAAATTAAAAAAACAAGGTGAGCATCTTGATAACTTTTGTTCACTTTGCATTTGTTTTGGATTGTAATAGCTACTTTTTGAGTTTTTCAATCTCTCATTAACATGATTGTGCTCATTATTATCATGCCAACAACCAATGTTTTTCAAACTTACATAACATATCTTTGGTAAGTTAGTTAAATTTTGTAGTTGAGAGCACATTCAGTTGTGTAGTCTGCCTTCCCCAAACGCAAAACTCCCCACCACCACACAAATGAGATCGGTTGCAGTTTCTACTTGTAACATTTGGACTTGAATACTCTTTCCCATGTAAAATTGCTCCTTGATTGGTAGTATAACAAGAGGTTTTTCACCAAATATAATTTACTATCATTTTCTTTTTGCCATTTGTTTGATTAAATCTAACCTGCATATGAAGCTTATATGAAGGTCTGGTTATATCTCCTTGTAAGGGTTTTCAAACACCTGATGGAATTATTAAAATTTCAATTCTTAATAAAATAGCCGAAGTATGTCATTATTTGATAACTAGGTGGAATTTTGCTCATCTTTCTGATTTACATTGAGATAGTGATATACTGCATTTTTCTAGTTGATATGATATTTCAGTGCACTGTCCACCTGCTAGAAAGAATTATCCTCTTTTTAATTTAAATTCATGGCTGGTTGTGTAACTATGCAGGGTATTTCCTACCGGAGGAGGATGACAAGTTTCTTGATAGAGTTCGAGCTGCAGTTGAGGAAGAGGAGCGCCAAGCAATAGCAACATCTGATATAGATACACCTAAAGATGCCATTTCAACTGCTGAGGAACCTAGAAAAACTATCCAGAGTCATGGACCAAAACCAGATGATTTAAAAAGTAATATAGGCAGAGATAAGGAAAGTCAAGACCAGATAACTCAGAGTGAAAATAGACACTCTGGTGAAGTCATTGGCAAGGAATCTGGAAAACATGGATCAGAAGGACAAGGTTCTGGCAGGGCATATGATCTCGTGACAAGTTTACCTGTTGAATTTTATCACTATTACTATGGCAGCAATACGGACATGGGCACACTTATTGAGGTGATTTCAATCAAAACCTTTCAGTTCTTGCATAGCCTACAGAATACTGCACTCTTTGTTGACAATGTTGTGCTTTCCCGATATTTTAGTGGCCACTTGTACATTTTTAGTGATGATTATGATTACAGATTTGGCGAATTGATACCTGAAAAGTGATTTAGTGGATAGCCCGTCCATGCACCAGCATCTATTTTTTGGCAGTGTATCTCTTGCTTTGGTTTCTGTTCACAGGGCACAGGCTGAATTTCCTGCATCTGCAGAAACACAGCATCAGCTGGATATTTCTGCAGTTGGAATCTTTGCTTTTACATGCATTTTTGTGGTTTTATTCACTTTTATGATCTCTTATGTATTATGGAATCTTGACTAGTCCAGTTAACCTAAGGTGAGTATATCCTTGCATTCAGGTAAGAAGAACGTGGGATCAATATATAAGACCTGGAGGAAGGTGAGGATACAATTTTTTTCCTGCTACAAGATCTATATATCTTATTGTTTGTCTAGTAATGGTATTATTTGGATAGTGCATGAGAATCAATGTTCTACATTCTATGTAGCTCAAATTGAATAATCTACTTTTCCTTAATCATGGCCTTCGCCATTATCACAACCAGTGCAGCCATTGCCTTCTCAACCAACAGTGCGTCCAAAACCAATTCTGCTTTCAGTGTTGTTAAGCACCACTGGCTGCCACTGCAGTCATCCCTAATACCACCTTCACATCACTAGTTCCACCAGTGGCTACCTATGCTATCAGCACCAACATTCCCATTTCTATTGGTGTTGTTGCTTTCTTCAACAGTATGCGCTATCATGCTTTTCCCTGTCAAGTTCTTTTTTAGTAGTTAACTATAATGGCTGTCTAAAGAATTTTAACATGAACATGCTTCGAAGCTATCTGCTGCAACAAAATGATTACAGTGAAACTGCTTCCTTGCTCTTCAGAGTATTTTTATGGAGCATTATAGGAGATGAAATACCAAAGAAAGTTAAGACTGGCACAAACACTAAAATATCCCAACAATCAAGAAAAAACAAATTCCAAAACAGCTTGAGAACTGCACTGCCTAACGAGAAAGTCTTTGCAACCGAAGTAAGCCGAGGAGCCAAGTGACATGCCTGAAACGCACCTGCATGATAAGCAAAATAAAACTGATAAAAATTCACTGTGTCAACAACTACAGCACAAATCCTCTGAGTTACCACACCATGTTGAAGGAGATGCACCAGAGAAAGACCTAACCATGTACTTACCTATCCATGTTGACGTCCATGGGTTTGATAACTTTATGATTATCAAAAAGACCTGATAAGATACATTCTTGAAGGGCAAATAACCATTTAGGATCAGTAATCCTTACCTCTCTTCTAGCATTGACTAGCATGTATCTCCATTCTATCCCTTATCTCTTCATGCTGAAAAAACACTGCCTGCCTGTTTAGAATTTCAAACTGATTTGTGTTTCTGTGATGTGAAATTGGCTGATTTTATAGGACTCCTAAGGAAAACCTGGTGGTTGTGATGAATTTGTTTAGGGCTATGAATCTTATGAAACCTGTTTGGATGCATTCTAACTGTGTTCGCAGTTGGCTAGCCCTCTAGTATGTTGCCGCTTATGTAGCCCAATCTTTCTGTCTACTGTGCATTATATCTTGAATAAACAGACTAATTGACTGGTGCCCCATCTAGGTCCCTTTTCCCTTGCTCTTTATATTTCTCTTATTTGAAAGCATTAGCAGAGATGTTTTAATTTTCTTCTGGGGCTTTCTGTACTTTACCATCTATCTTTGCATGGTCCACCTTCAGAGGCTTTTAAGGACATCAAAAGGGATATATTTAATTCTGTATGTAATAACACAAATGCCATACTTGTATTGTCATTCTCTACTTCTCTTTATGTCTCTGTAGGTGAGGTTGTGCCATTCTCTTCTTATCTTTACTACTGTTTCGTCTGATCAGCGACTCCCATAAATGTTCACAAATTTTGCTTGAGATGTAGAGCATAAGATTAAGCCATTTTTAAATGTCTAGCTAAGAAGGTTTATCCATGCTGAAGGGCTCTCCTGTGTTTGGAAAAAGCACTCTGTAGCCGATTTATCAAGTCTATTTCTGCATTCAAACTGGTCGGTGCCAAGCCTGTTAGCCAGTAAATATTTAAAGTTGATGTAACATAGTTATTTGGCATTTTCTTTCACGTTAGAAATTTTAAACAAGCTGCATGCAAAAAGATCAGTTATTATTCTCCCCCTCATTTCCTCAAATTTATCCTTGTGGAACTCTGGTACAGCCGGATACCTGGGCACTGGGTTCAGCCACCACCTCCAGCAGATGGGACATGGGCATCATATCTGGTGAAACCAAAATGATCTTTATCTGCCACCAAAATTGCATGTATTTGCTGCAAAAGCACCGGGTATGTGTTTTTTGTGGTTTCATGATGTTCATCGACCCTTTTTTCAGTAAATAGATGTTCCTTGACTTTTGATCTCTTTTATACCCAGCATAATTTGTGCTAATAGTACTTTTGAGGGAGGTTGGTATCCAGTCGAACAGTCCCTAATTGCTCCATTTATTCTCTTTCAATTTGTACGTCTCTTGTATAATGTGGTAGCAAAAAAAACATTTACATTGTAGCATGAACCTAGCTTTTTCTTTCTTTCAAGGCACAGATGCAAAATCACCTTTTCGAAGAACAATCCTTCAAGCCTAAACATGACTCTGAACAAGTTTGTTTATTCAAAAATCATGGAGAAACTGAAGTATACTGAAACAGAAGTTTGTGCCTACGGCCATAGGAATGCATCAGACACTGCTATCATAGACATTGAAGGGGGATACACGTTTTGAATAAGCAACCAAAATTGATTTGGAATGCATTGCGGTTGCCAAATGATGTCAGTTGAAGAAATGGCTTGTGGTTAGTGGTTGAAAATGAATTTGTAACCCCTCTAAGCCAGGTCTAAGTGGCTGTTAGTGCCGGTTACGGGAGATAAATGATTCATTAGACGTGACCGACCATCCAAGTTTTTACTCCGCTAAAGTCAGGTTTGTGTTGGTTTTAATTATGTTTTGTTTCCCGTAATTATATAGGCCCCAATGTGAAAGTCGCTTCCATGGAATAATGCGACTAAGGGATTTTTTATCGGATGCAAATTTGAACTTTGAGCAATATATTTATTTAGCAATGGTAATTACTATATATTCATCTTTTTTTATTTTTGAGAGTTTGTGCATGTTTCTGGACTGAGGCTTTGGCTATAGTCTTCTATGTCAAACAGTTTTCATAATTGTTCTTTACATTCACCTTATAGCTGCAACATGATATTTTCAAACATCAAAACCATTAATGGACATTTATTTTTTTTTAAAAAATTATAATTAATCTTTAAACTTTCTCTAATAAATTTTTAATTATCTCAATTTAACTGTCAACTATTAATTCCGTATCAACAAAATTCATGTTCATATAAGATAATCTACCGTCGTGATTTAAATTTTTATTCAAATTTAAATTAATATTTGAATAAAAAATTTAATTTAATATAAAAGACTCAAATAAAAACAAATTTAAATTTAAAAAAGAATAAAAATGACTATTAGATCTTGAAAAAATAAAATAAAATTTGATCAAATAAATATTTAAATTTCACTTGATTTGAATAAAAAAATAAATTTTTCTTAGTATAAGTGAGTCAAGGGTCTGTGCAAATTTTTTAGATTTTTTTACTGAAACTTTAAATTTGAGTGAAAAAATATAAAAAATTTACTCTAACTTTAATTTGAATTTGATTTGATCAAAGAAAAAATAAATTCTTATTCAAATCTTTAATGATAAAATTTTTATTCTTATTCCCTTTTAAATTTAAATTTGCCTCATTTATATTTTGATCTCCCCTCTTTTAAATTTAAATTTGTATCTTGAAACACTTTGTATCAAATCAAATTTTATACTTAAATATTAATTTAAATTTGAGTAAAAATTGGAGTGATGGTTGAATATGCTCTAACAAGTCACATTTATTATAATGAGCGATTAACTTCAGCGATACAAAATTGATAAAAATTAGTAGTTGAATGACCAGAAAATTGGAAGTTGAGGTACACCGAAACCACAACCAATCCTTGAGAACTTACATTGTAACCACACGACGACATAATCAAGAATTCAAATCATAGCTATAACTCAAAGGATCATGGGACGCTTCTACAGAATTGTTTGAACAAAAAAACCCAGAAACGAAGAAGATTTAGAATACAAGAATAAAAAAAATTTTAAAAAAATGTACATGTGGCCGAGGGTTCAAGACGCACCAAAACAAAACAAATTTGGGCATCCTACGATTCGGCTGATAATCAATCTGCGAAGGTATTTGTTAGTGTTAGAGAGGCCTCGTTCTAGAGTCGTTACCCTCTCTGCTGGGACCTTCACTTCACTCCTAAGCTAAAACAACAGAAAAAGGTGCACAAATAGCGAAGAAGAACTTCATAAAAATTGTTGTGCTGTGAGAAGAATTAGATCCAAAAATAGACCGAACCGGAGCCAAAACAATGAAATCTGGTTCGGCTATCTGCATTCTGAGATCGATTTCCGAAGGCAAACTTGGCCGAAAGCGCATCCATTATCGCGCTTCCTCCATAGGTCCTTCGTTCAACGAAAAAAAGATCAAAATCGTAAAATCAGATACGAAAAAATACGACTAAGAGAGAGAAAATGCTCAGTGAATACGAACCATAGAAATAGAGAATCATCTTGCGATACGATTATGGAATCATCACGCAATCATGTTCTTTTTCTCGGTTATCTTCATCACATCTCTTCTTACTCTAATGAAGATCATGAAGGAAAAGAATGCAAAAAATCGATAATGGAGAAAAACAAGCGCCGACCTCCATAGCCATTGAACCCTAGGGTTTTGTTACTTACGCCGCCCTGTCACAACACAACTATAAAGAGTCGTCGGTAGGCGAAGCTATTTTTATATAGAGGTTAATTAATTACATCTAGGGCGAATTTTATTTTTGGATTAATTGCACTATAGTCCCTGAAATATGAGATTTTTCTCATTTTAGTCTCTAATATTTCAATTGTATTAATTTAGTCTTTGAATAATTGAACATATTTCTATATGATTCGTCGAGCAAATAATATCCAAATTACTAATGGTTATTGATCAAAAACTAACCATGTGATACTAAAATATGAACAAAAAATAATTTAAATAACTCTTGACCAAAATTTGAATTATTTGTAACCAAAAATATATAAAATGGATAGTTCTTTATCAAATTTTGGAAAACTTATGATCAAAATTGTGTAATTTAGGTGGCTCTTTGAATTGATAAAAATTTGGTCAAGAGTTTTACAACTTATTTTTTTACTCCTAATTAAGTATTATGTGACAAATTTATAAAAAAAAATCGTTAACAATTTGAACATTATTTGCTAAAGATACTACGTAGAAATATATTTAATACTTCAAAGAACAATTTATCAAATAACTTATCTTATCATTGACACATTATATCACTATTCAAGTGAACCACATTATTCCAATAAGATATTTATTGAATGTGGTGTTTTATTAGTAACAATTTGAATAATAAGTTCCATCATCTTCACATTATATTTTATAATTAATTGGTTATAACACTATTAATAAGGATGCAATATCAATAACACTTACATTTAATATTTTTTCTCGTTAGAGATCCCACTAATTTTGAGTTACATCAGCATAATTTTGATAATAAAAACTTTGAAATTGACCATGTAGCATTAGTCAATATTCTATAGAATAGAAAATGCCCGTGGATATTCATATAAAAAGACAACAACAAAATGATTTTTTTCAACCAAATGAAGTTTAGGCCTTTCTTTGCCTTTCTCCTTCTTTCCCATTCTTCACCATCGGTGGCACATCTTTATTCTATTTTTACACATA